CCGCAGTTGCTCTTCCAAACGGCGGGCCTGTTCCTCCTGTCGGCGAGCCTGTTCCTCCTGTCGGCGAGCCTGTTCCTCCTGTCGGCGAGTCTGCTCCTGCAGCATCACCATCGGAGCTAGGTGCTGCAGATGTAGGAGCTACTGTCGAGCCTGCAGCCGGCGGCTGGCCCTCCGTCTGCGGCGTTGCACCACCAAATCTTCATTGGTCCGTCTCCTGCTGGCGTTGACTTCGGGTACGGACACCCTCCGTTTCCTCCTTAGGTAAAATCGGCATGATTTTATCCCACTTCTGACGCCAATTGTTACGAGCTTGAGGTTCGTGACAATAAAAATTGCCGATATAATTACCAAAATTAACTCTTTAATTCACTTTACACTAATTAAAACTTAAAAGCTGTCAAGGATTGGCGCTGTCGGTTGAAAGATTAGTGATGTCATTTTCTGGAAAGCTCTCCTCGCTCCGTTACCCGGCACAGATTGCGCTAGTGCCAGACGTCAACTTAGGCGCGCAACAGTATGTATAACGAATGTCTGATAAGAACACAGAGACACCTAATAACTATAGGAATAAAGGTTAATTCATGATACTTTAAATTATCTGTTAGTAAATATTTTTTACGTAACTGATATGTGGTTATTAATTTTTTCTAATCTGCCCCTGCTCGAGCATGTTTCCATCCATGAATTTCTGTTAGTACCCGCCTCCATCTAATTATTTTCACAGGCGAACAAGTCGTCTCTTTAGTATTTATTTTCTAGGTCTTACTCTTCTTCAACCGTCATTGTCAGGAGTTTACTATGTAATTGACGGTATCTTGCCCACATTTACTGAACTCATTTCTGATATGTTTTAGGGTATGGAAATGTCCACTGCTCTGCCCCGATGCATGTTGGCGAACTCCATATGCCTTCAAAATATTTTTTAACTTCCCGCTATGAAAATCAATGATTTTCTAAAAATGGTAAATATATTGTTTTCATCCCTGATTTTGAAAATCGAGTTCTCATCAGATCTCAAAGTTTCGAGGTCCTAGGATCCTTCCTTCTATATTTATTGTGTAGTCCTTCTATTTTTGCGATGATGTCCGTATGTCTGTATGTATGTGTGTGTGTGTGTGTTTGCGTAATCTGAAAGGGCCTTGCTAAACTTAAATTTTCTGTGAATTTAGACCGAATCATCACGATAGATTCTGAAAAAACCTCAAAAATTCGAGTTTTCTATACTTTTAAATAGTGATTTTCTTGGAATTACTTCAACACATTGTATTGGGCAATTCTATAATCTAATACATAATCTAATAACAAAGCTCCAGCATCCTCTCGAAGCTTAGTTTTCTGAAGGTTTCACTTCTACTGCATGTTATTGTTTCAAGATGAACCAACGCTTACCCATAGTTAAGCTATCGAGAAGCGTAGGAAAGATTTTGGTGACAAGTGTTTTCAATCTGACGGGGTATCTGGAGTAAATATTCCTTTACAAAATCGAAGTGATATCAACGCCGAATCTTATACACATAACTAAATCCTTTAATTGCCCCAGATGTATGCTGCAAGACTTGCGACATTATTTGATCCGTCCAAAGATTACACAACTAGGTCTTAAAAAAGTAACAAAAATATGTTTATAACAATTTTATTATGTGCAAATGTAATAACATCAATTTAAATATCATTAATCTGATGGGAAAATGGGATCATTAATCCTGGAATTAAGATGTAAATAAAATAAATCAATAAGTTTATCGTGGATATTCAATTTCCCATTAACCCAATTAAATAAATTTCTAATACAAAGTATAACATATAAAAGGATACAAAAATATAAGGAACGTAATATATGGACCTTTCTTAAGAATTCTATAAAATTACTACAACAAAAATCTTTTTAAGATTTTGCTCACCCAAAAATCATGAGTTTAAAAAACTTTACTTAAGTACATTCACAACGCATATCTAATATAAGAATCACAGAGTATACATAAGAAGCTAGTTTACTTATATATACTCTAAGATAAGAATAAATTAATTTATTTACTAATAAAAATCTTTAAATATGTTGCAAGTAATTGTAAAAACTTTATATTGTTGCGCGCCTAAGTTGACGTCATGTACCCGGCACTAGCGCCATCTGTGTCGGGTAACGGACGAGGAGAGCTTTCCAGAAAATGACATCACTAATCTTTCAACCGACAGCACCATCTAGTATCAAAACGAAGAACTAAGCTTCTAGAAGCCCGACACTCGAACTTTCGACGCCTTGCGCGTATTTACTTGAATGTTCTAGATGTTTCGGTGCTAATGTGTATTTATAGGCGCTGCAAGGTGCGATCGGGGAAGTATTGAATTTGGCGAGACAAGCGAAGCTTCGGAGCGGAATAAAGTGAATCAGTGTGATTAATTATTAGTGTTTAAAGTTAGTGTAAAGTTAATTAAAGAGTTAATTTTGGTAATTCTATCGACAATTTTTATTGTCACGAACCTCAAGCTCGTAACAATATTTAATGAAAATAATACAGAAATACCGACTTATGATAGCTTACTTCAAAAAAGGGAGGTTCTCATTGTGTATGCTTACCATATATATTTCACGAGTGTATGTTATTTTAATACGTTAAGCGATATGTCCATCGATTGTAGACGAATTTAACTTTTTAGACGAAATAGCAGTTGTTACCTTTAGTTTGAGATATATTCTTCAATCCACTCAAAAGGGCCAAAAAATTCCGGGTTCAAACAACTAAAAACATGGCAGTAACGATATTTTAGTATATTATAATTTTAATTCATCTATATACTATAAATAAATCGATATTCATCCGTTCAAGGTAAAATTTTAAACCTTTTGCTACAAGTGTAGTTGATTAATATATTTTTAACCGTTTTACCTCAGTATTTCGGCAAAATGACTCAAACTGTGAACTTTGAGATAAGTACCTATTGCATTTGCTCCTCAAAAATGGCAGATCGGGGCTAATACATTAACCACGAAACGAAAGGGACAAATTTTGAAAACCCATTGCATTGACCCCTTTTATGTTCCTTGCTGCCAGATGGTACGGCAGTATGTAAAAAAATTTGCAGAACTCAATTACACGGAAGGAAACAGAACAGAATTTTTTTTCAATGTAGATTATAACAATACTTATTGAAAGCCGCTTTTTTCATTTACCACTGGTTCGCAAAAAAAAACCTCTGTCCTGGGAAGAACCAAAGGAACTGACTTATAAGTTGGGAACTAACAACCGTACGAGAGGCTCCAGTGTCTATGGTCAGTTTACACGGCATTCCGTTGACCTCGCCCTTGATGATTAGACTGTTCCCATCATGGGTTTGTGAGATCGAGATCCTTGGGGGCTCTTTTAACATCAGCCAGCACCCGCCCCGCAGTTCTGGCTTTTACTCGTTTCCCTGCTGCTGCTTGGCGGTGCTGTTAGCCGCACTATCCTCCTGAGATCGTTCACCTTCCTCTTCTAGGGTTCGCTTAGGGCAGCTGGATCGAAGATGGCCCCTTTCCCCACAGCCATAGCACCTAGGGCTGTATCCATTATTGCGGTCGCGAACTGTAGCTGCTGCAACCTCCCTGACACGATGGGAACGATGATCCTGCCGTACGGCTTCCACCTCCGATGCACGGGCCAAGGCTTCCTTAAGCGTCTCGTGGTGCCCGAGCATCACAACAGCTCTGACTTCAAGGTCGCGGATGCCGTCGATGAATGTCCGCACCAGGTTCCCTTCAATGAGTTTTTTTTCCAGTCCTTCATGGAGCTGTAATTCCATCCCCCAGTTTGAGGTCGTCCAGTGTTTTCTTCACGTCAGCCATCACATTGTCAACCCGATTGTTCACTTGGCCGATTCGGGTTTCAGCTTTCGTGATTTGGGTTTCAGCTTCCGACAGGCGGTTGTTAGGCTGAGCAACTTCCTTCACCTCTTTATCTCCTTCCCGAAGGTAGCGTGAAGGTCCTTCATGAGGAGCATCTGCGCTTCCAACCGACGGGCCTGTTCCTCTTGTCCGCCCCGCAGCTGCTCTTCCAACCGACGGACCTATTCCTCCTGTCGGCGAGCCTTTTCCTCTTGTCGGCGAGCCTGTTCCCCCTGCTGCTCTTCCAACCAACGGGCCTGTTCCTCTTGTCCACACCGCAGCTGCTCTTTCAATCGGCGTGCCTGTTCCGCCTGCTGGCGAGCCTGTTCCTGCAGCAACATCATGAGAGCACCTAAGTCAGGTGTTGCAGGTGTAGGAGCTGTTGATGGACCAGCCTCCGTGGCTGGTAGTTGGCCCTCCGACGTCTGCGGCGTTGCACCACCAAATCGTCTTTGGTCCGTCTCCTGCTGGCGTTGACTTCGGGTGCGGACACCCTCCGTTTCCTCCTTATTATAGAACACAATGACGAGTCTGATACAAAATCTGACAGCAATTTGATGATACATATAAATCTTAAATGACTTTTCATCATCAGCTATTCAACTGGAACACTTCTTCTAGTATGCCAACTTTCTAATTCATAGAACTTGCAATCCCCAGGTTTCTTGGGAATTTTTTTTAGTCGAAATTCGTGTGAGCGTTGCTGCTTTACATAACATGTTATTTCCTTGAAGGGTTTTAGGTTTTTCTCAATGGCTGATCGACCCGAGCCAAAAGTTGATAGAACAACCTAGTAGATATCCGACTTCGGCAATGATTAGGTTGCAATATCCTTTTATACTACGAGTGTAGACAAACATTCCTAATATTTTAAATTTTTTGCAATATATTAATGGAAATTTCATTATTTACTTCACAATTATAATAAAAATACAAATATACAAGAAGCATAGAGTGATTTCAAAAGTCCAAAAAGAAGAAAAGCTTATTGTATTACACAATGTTCGTTTTATTTTTGGTTTCATTTTGTTTTAAAATTCATTAAGTTAAATCGCTAAAGATTGCTTTTACATGCTATGAGGAAAGTAAAATGTGTTCCAGAACATTGTAAAATTATTAAAATAAACAAAAGAGAGACTAATCATGAAGATGCTATTTCTAACATTTTTGATATGCTGCATATTTTTTCTCTAGGTTTGCCATATTTTTTACCTAATTCAACTTCATAATTATCAATTTTTTTCCAACCATTCCAATCTACTATAATATGATTTTGATTTGATTTCGACAAAAATTTTCTTACTTCTTCGAAGCCGCCTTTAGAAGATAAATTTTTACAGTTTTTAAGATCCTCACAAATGGTTTTAGCAACTAAAAATGCGTTACTCATGGTATGTAATATAACACCTGCTGGCCCTGTTCCGAGCCACCCAGCAACATAAAGTTTCGCTAAAGACGATACATTATCTTCAATCACACGACCTTTATCATTTGTAACAAAACCATTTGTATCAAAAATTATATCCTTATCAACCTTTACACTTGTATAACCTATACTTCTAAACACTAAACTACAATCTAGAACTTCCTTTTCATCTGTAGCTATACACTTTTGATGTTCTAAATTGTCACCCTCAAGTCTATTGCAAGTTAACTCAATACCTGTTACATGATTCATATTGTCAGTTAAAAATTTATTGGGACTTCTAAAAAATAGAGGTTTGAAACATTTATCACCAGGCATAATATTAATCTTAGAAGATTCGCTCAAAGCTTTTAACATAAGTTCAGTAAGTCTTTTTCTCGGACGTCCTAAATTACTAACTACACTAGAAACTCCTTCAAAATCTTGCTCTCTCCAAACAGTCTTACAATTAGGAAGATTCAGCTGTTCTCTTAATTCCTTGATAGTAAAAGCTACTTGTAAGGGGCCCCTTCTACCAACTAAATATAATTCTTTTACTTTAGAATCTGCTAAAGCAGCGAGAGCATGCTCCGTAATGTCAGTTTTTCTTAAAATATCAATCGGGGTCAAAAGTATTCTGGCAACATCCAGAGCAACATTCCCTTGACCAAGAATGGCTGCTGTGGTACCTGATAGATCTATCTGAAATAAAAAAATGTTACATTTTATAACTTTTACTTCAAATGTAAAATCGTCAAATTATTCTAAATCGAAGCAATTTTTAGTTTTCCATTATCCCTTTTTTGATTCTTATTATAAGTTACAATCTTACTTGTAAAGTTAAAATATGAAGAGTCAAAAGTTAGAAATTTTATGATATAATCGGAAAATCTTCCAGGTAACCAAAAAAAATTTATTAAAAGGGAGGAATAATATGGATGGGTGGGGTGCATTATTTTTTTTTTTTTAAGGGTGGAATTAATTATCTCATTAGAGGGTTCTGAAATACAGCAGATAGGGGTTCTATTACTGCAGATGGCTCTACACTACAAATAACAATTTAGGCACCAAATACACAACACACTTTAAGCAATAGATCAGTGAACATAAATGAAAAGAGAAGTAGCTAGAGGGTTAGAGAGACAAATTTATTTATTAATTTTATTTATTTAAACTTTATTGCACAAAAATGTACAAAGGCGAACTTAATGCCTTAAAGCATTCTCTACCAGTTAACCTATATAAGCAGAGAACACTGCAATAACATTTGTAATTCATGTTTTTAACCTATTTCTTAAACAAATATAAGGATTGGGATTGTTAAATCGACAAAAATTTAAAAACCAAAGTTTTATTATATATATTGAATTGCAAGGGAACAATCATAACAGAAGCTGAGAAATTTAAAATTTTCTTCTAGTTACAGTGGACATTATATACACCATTATATGTTATATTTTTTTAAATTCTGAATTCCCAATAATTATGGCTTGGGATTTTAAGGAGTTCTCAGATAACCCATATGATTGCTTTCAGTCAAAAATACATGTCAGATTCTTGTGGGTGTTCCCAGAATTTAGTATATTCTTATAGATACTATGATTTAAGTAAATGCTAAGGTGATGGGCGCCCTCGTTTAGATTTAAAAACTCTTATGGCTAATCCGATAACCATGAACATGTTTGTATCGAACTTGGGGCCCTTTTCACAATTTTATGTTATTGATATTTTCAGTGTTTAATAATGATACCTTTAAATCTTTATCCCTTGGGTGTCCATTATACCAGCCAACAAAATTCCTTGCTGCTACTATGTTATATGCTTCTTCATTTTCAATTCCCAGTGTTTTATCTTCTTCTGCTCCATATGTCTTAAATAAATAAAAAATACACAACAATGAAGAATGATTTGGAAAATGTAAGACATTTAATATATTAGCAGAATATTTACCAAAAGAACAGCATCATAATTTTGTCGAAGTTGTAATAAGCCAACATCTTTTCCTAGAGCTATGTTTCCATAAAAATTCACATTTGGTTTATTAGCTACTTTAGTAAACTGATTAATGACATTTTTGACTTCTGGGTGGTCTGGAGCAACACCATACCTAGTTAAAAGTGTCATTTTTAAATTTATCCATAATATATTATTTACAACCAGTGTTGACTGCTAACACTACCTTTTTATAAAATTATTACATTCATAAATTTATATGTACATATTTTTTTTTATAGGAAAAGGGTGCCAAGCGAGCACACAGTCCACCTGATGGTAAGTGGTTGCTGTGGCCCATAGACATCTACATCTATCTTTGTTTGCGAATCAAAATGCAGATGCGTTGTCAACCTTGAGGATTAAGATAGAATGCCTCTTTTCCAGTAAAAAGGGTCTCCGGTTCTCTGCACTCACCAAACAAAACACAGCAGCATTAAGCTCCTATTTGACGCTGGTAAAAACATTCATACATTATATTCCTTGAGTGTATTGACTTCACATTTGTTCAACTGTCAGGCCAATTAGAAATTTAAAGAAAACATTATTGTATTAGTGTGATGTTAGGATAGTTTATATTATATAATTATAAAGCCCTCCAGGCTGAATTTCGGTCACAGCAGCCAGTCAATGGAGACTATCCATCTGCATAAGACACAATTGTAGTGCCCAAGTATATGTGCAAGCACAGATACACTCTCTTTTTTCTTCACTCTCATAGTCCAATGGGACGGTAATTCAACACAACCAGAGAGATATCAGGTGCAGGACAGAGGGCTTTATGAGCTTTCAGAGGTACGGGGGTGAAAAACTGCCAACTTTCCTAATTCTGGACTACTACTGAGAATTTCTTAACATGATAAACCCAATAACTGTTTCTGGCCCAACCCAAGATTTGAACTCAGGATCTCTTTATCAGCAATCGTGTTCACAACCACTAAACCAACAAGGCAGTATATCATACATCTATTTATTAAACACTGTCCATGCATAATATTATTTTCAAAGTGATGGGACTCCATTTTCGCCTGGGAGTGTTAGTATTTTTTTTTTACGATAGGGTGACCAAAGAGCACACAGTCCACCTGATGGTAAGCGAAAAAAAATGAATTCCTAAAACTGACTGCATCCCTTTAATATGAAAAGTGCATGACTACCAGCAAAAAAACATGATAATATGAAAGGCAACTAATTCTGATAGGGAAATGAACAATCCCGATTTAATCCATTCCAGGATACATTATACATAGATTTGTGCATGTCTAATAGTAATATAAAATATTCACTAAAACATTATGCAAGAATATATTGTATCTATATATTTTATTAATGAATAGTAGAAGTCAATTCTGTGTTCATAAAACCATAAACATACAAACCGTACTAATCCAAAAGGCACTGGTAACTTTTCAAGTATATCAATATGTACATTTTCAATTTTTTTGCATAAATGCATTGCAGCATAAAATCCGGCTGGACCAGAACCAACAATACAAACACGAGGCACAACATTATCTAACGAACAATATAATCGAGTGATCATTTTTATTCCTATAAAACTCATTCTTAAAAAATTAAACTTTTTACGATCTTTGCAAAATTTAAGTCGTCAAGTATAGTCACTGTATCACAAAAATAAACCACAAATAGGAAATTCTGTCTTATATTAAACCAACTTCGAATTAATACATATAAATTAGGAATATCTAAGCAAGCTAAAGGAAAACATAAAACACATTCGAGTCAAAACATACCTACAAATCTAGATATTAGTGATCTGTGCTACAACAAATGAATTCATATTAAGTGCATAAATGATCTCGAATGTATGTATGTTCGATGATCATCGATGCTAGAAATTAAAACATAATGATGTTGCCACATGCTAAACATCGTAACATCGATGATACCACATGTCAAACATCGTAACATCGATGATACCACATGTCAAACATCGAAACTTCGATGTCAATGAGCCAATAATTGATTAATAAGAACTTGTGAACAATGCGAACCCGCGAAATCAATATCAACTAAATATTTCATCTCCTATTAAAGGTTTAAAATTTTGAATAATTTAGGATTCTTAAAGGCATCAATCACCTGAAAAATATCATTATGTTGTGTCAAACTCCCTCTCAAGTGTGAACCGTAATATCACTGCTTTCGCTTTATTATTCTGTGGTATCATTGTCACCTAATAACTATTCTATATAAATTGATATACAAATAATGTTTTTTTCTCTTGCTGTCTATACACATAATTTTTGAAACAATATGAATATACACAATCCAATTATATTTAGCTGTTTTTTGAGCTAATGAGTTTATTTTTCGCTTGAAGTTTATGAAAATAAATCACTGGGCGATTATGAGCATAGAAAATTTCACTGCATAGTGCATTTTACAGTGCATTTTATAAATGGCTGTGTATACTTATTGTTTGGGCTGTCTGAGAAAAAATAGTGAACAAAGGTGACGGAAAAGTCTAATATTTTGTTTTTGTGACGTTTGCTAATTCGCCCTCTATAATCAGATTTTTTTATTTCGCGATAGGGTGGTTAATATAGAACATACGTCTAAATCGTAAATTAGGTCTCATAGTAAAGTTTTTCGTAGATTTTTGGTTGTATAGGAACATTTGAAGATCAAAATAATAACATTAATCATTATTGGCAAAAAATATAACAAATGAACTAAACATTTGTTAAGTTTTGCCCATTTGTTAAATTACTATTTAGAACTAAATGTTTTATAAATTTCTTTCATTTCATTAATAATAAACTATAAACTACACTATAAATTTTTTGTTTATCTAATTTTAACCTACTAATTAGGTATGTAGTAGGTACATGTGCAATAACATCGATAATGGCCAACATCGATGTTTTACGTACGATAAACATCGATGTTAAGCTATCGATATCAATATCGATGTCATCATAGATGTTTCTGCAACATCGATCATCCCTACTCGAATGACCGCGAAATATCAACCACAGACTACTAAGAGGATACTACGCATATATCAACTATACAAAAAGTACTCTGTGCTATCAACCATAGATAATGGGTATGTTCCGAATTACGTTATGATATTATAGTATGAGTATGAGATAATGATATTATAGTACTCTTATTATAATTGTAGTTTGTGGTTCCGAATTGATCCCAGCTAGAAGTAAGGAGTACAGACTGTGTATTAAGACCAATTTACACTTCGACAAGTACAGTAGCGAGTTAAAATGCGAACCTGGCGAGTTTAAACCTCGTTTGAACGGCAATAAACGAGTTGAGTTGAATATTTAGTTAAGTTTTATATTGGGTTTTAATACTATAATGGACGGAAGATATCACGTATAATTTTGTACAGGTGTATTTAGAACACGAATGTTTATATAATACTAGAAGTTCAAATTGTAAAATTAAACCTGCTTGAGATGCTGCAGTCATGAAAATTCTTAAAAACTTCTTTAACAACAACCATTAATACTTCTCTGACTGGATCATTTAATTCTTGACGTAATCCTAGAACCATCTTAAACGAAAAATTCCGTAGTCTTGAAACGTCATACTCCCACGAACTCTATGAACTAATGTCCTTAACTAAACTCGCCACGAAGATATTATTTGAACGCTACTGCCCACTTAACCGTTTAATGTCCTGTAACTAAACTCACTACTATACTTGTCAAAGTGTAAATCGGTCTCTAAAAAAGGGTCCATAAAAACCTTTAAATAAGGGTGGCGCCATTATAGCTACGGGGTAAATTTTAAAGAACGCACCGAAAAATATTAGTGGGATAGATGACTTTTTCGAGGTTATATTTACTAAATAAAATTATTTTAGATTTTAGAGCTACTGATCAGTTTAGCAGCACACTTATACCGGCGATAACTGAGCTGTTATTTACTGCTTACAGATGACCACCTTTTCAACTATTCTACTATGGGAGTTGGTACTCCTTACTTCTGCACTCCACAGTACAGACTCTGTATAAAAAATGTCCGCAGGAAAGCACTAAATAAGGGTGGCACCACTGTAGCTACAGTCTAAATTTTAAAGAACTTTTTATAATTTTTTTATTGCGCAGACTTTCACCATAATTCTTTTTACAATAATTTTTTATTGCTTTCAAAATTTTTATTTTCAATATCACTCAACGTATTTTACGGCAATTTATCAATACCCTGTAGCTGCTTAAGCGCTGTTGTGGAGAGTTTACTGCTTACGGATGGACACATTTTCAACTGTTCTCCCATGGGTGATTGTCCTCCTTACCTCTATACTCCATGCTATATACTCAGGGCCGTAGACAGAGAAACCTAGGTTTCTCTGTCTACGCTCAGGGCATTATCAACTGTCGCTTCAAAGTACAAAATGCAAAGAAAATTAATTGCCATATAAGTAACGTTTTTTTCCGCTTTATTTAAACGAGTCTTATAGTTTACCAAATCTAAGAAAAACATTTTGACAGCTGTCAAACTTATTGCATCAAGCATGCCAACCAAAAAATGGGATGTACAATATTCGATTCTAAAAAAAATGATATCGACTATTTAGAGTTGGTAATCATTTACAGTTTGGTTTGAATAATACCAGAATAAATTTAAAACGGATAATTTAAAACACAAGATTTATCAGTTTCTTCATATTTGTTGTTATTGCTTATTTCTAGAGCCACAGTTATAAAAATTTATGATTGAAACTAGATTAAAAATAAATTTATTCAATCACTAAAAGTACAACTAGTTGAGCTGTCGTTGTTTAGATAATTATTATTTGATTTTCAATAATGCAGTCAAAATAATGTCTCTTTCAAAGTCATCCTTAATTAATTTTTTTTTGTTTTATTTTCTACCCCTTTTGCCCAATGTTAATAGCTCTAATAGTTCACACGCGCGGACACGTAATTCACAAAATCGCATCACTTTTACGAATCAAAATCCACTTAAAACAATTATTCAAGCGACAAAACAGGAGCGACAATCTGTCTACGGCCAAGTTTCCGCCAAAACCCTGATGTTCCGATGTCATTGTTAATCCCGGAGTACCTTTAGCTTTTTTTAATTATTGTTTATGGATAGAGGTAGCATAGATCGGAATATAAACAATAATTAAACAAAAGCGGAAGGTAATCCGGGCTTAACGATGACATCGGGACATCAGTCATCTCAGTCTCCCGTGACCATGGATGCTGGAAAACCTGAAACGTCAGGAATTAAAAATAATTAAAATCAAACGCGATAAAATCCGTAAAAGTAGTTTAACCAAAAACTTGTTTTATTCATGATTCATGTAATTTAAGGAATTTTAAAAATAAAATTTAATTGAACAAATAAAACAATAAAAAATTAATGATTCGATTATTTAAATAATTTTAACCGATTATTTGAATATTTTTGCTGATTATTCGCATAATAATGAATTTTAGTCATCCGAACACTTTAGGGAAAGGAGCAATCATTTCATCAGTCATCATTATCATCATAATGATGACTGCTCAGACAGTAATGCAGAGATGAGCAAAACTGAAATCATCAACATCATCATTATTTCGGCCCTTTTCAAATCCACTGCCGAACATAGGACTTCCTGCATATTTTACCAGGTCGTCATTAGATCTAGTGGGAGAACGCCCTAAACTTCACCTGCCGGTATGAGAAAATTTTATTAAAAGAAATTGAGAAATTTAAATGCTAAATTCAAATTCATATTAATAATTTCTTATATTTACGCGAACACTAAACATTGATTAAAACTACTTTCTAGCTTTTTCTTAGTTTTTAAACGTCGGGAATTAAAAATCAAAAAAATTAAATGCTATAAAATCAACCAGCGTCAGCTTTCAAAATGAGCATGAAACGAGGTGCGTGGGTAGACAGTGGACCAATGGGACTCTCACATGATTATGGTACGTTGCCCAATGAGATAAACACAAAAAACATAAATGAATCATTAATCACAAAATCGCCATCGACGCAATCTGAAAAATTGAGGGTAGAACGACATAAACAAACAGAAAATAAACTAAACGACCGGCAACGGCTGTCGGTGGAAAGGCCTCAGGCAAGCGCATTTGCAGGTTGCAGTGAGGAAGGAGTAAGGCCAATAGTAAATCAGGAGGCGTACACTCAACCGGACCGGCGGTAACGCTACACGCATCGAGCACCAATCTACAGCTAGCGGAGCAGCTGACCACTACTGATAAGGCAGGCGATAGATGCGCGCTAGAAACGTGTGAACCGGAGCGCTCGCAAAATATTAACAGCGAAGACTGGCAAAAAGTGGTGTATCGTAAAAAACAAAACAAATATCGTTACGTAAGAAAGTTGGGCATAGCAAGAGACCTAGAATGCACCTTCAGAGCTGCCGATAGGAAAATTCCTATGTTCATTACGAATGTGCATGTCTCTGTAACAGAAAAAGATATAACTAACCATATTTATAATAAGACAAAGGAAATAATGCATCTAGAGAAAATAAATATGAAAGTGGAAAGAGGACACAAAGCATATACATTTTTAATATCTGAGGCTAATTTATCGAGATACATGGACCGAAGGTATCATATTCCGACGTTTTGTAAACTTTAAGTCCAGGAAAACGAACGTTGCAGGTTCTACCAGCGTAGAAGGTCCAAACAAACCAAATAATGGATAGACTTGCCACATTTAATTGTAAAAATATAAAACGATCAATAGAAGATGTCCGAAAACTCTACCGATCATGTGATGTGGTGTGTCTCCAGGAAACTTGGCTAATGTCACACGACATACCCTATATCGGCACCACTGACAGCGGTTTCGGATACACGGCAATATTGGCGATGGATATGTCTGCGGGCATCCTTAGAGGACGTCCTATTGGGGGAACTGCAGTGTTAAGGCGATATAGTGCGTTTCAATAGGTGCCAATATTACAGTGCGATAATAGCCGTATTTGTGGTATAAAAATTATAACGTGTGATAGACCTGTGACCATAATGAGCGTTTATGTGCCAACAAATTCGGTAGAAAATTTACCAGAATTTATAGACTGTTTGAGTACGGTGAGTGCGATTGTTGACGAATACGGAATTGATGCCGTATTTATTTTAGGAGACTAATGCGGACCCGGGTGAGTTGTTTTACAGTGAACTTATAAATTTTTGTAATGACCAACTATGGTCATGTATAGACACAGAGATATTAGGGTTAAACACGGGCACTTTTACTTTTATTAGTGATGTGTTCGGGACCTGCAGCTGGCTGGATCACTGCATTACTACTCAGTCAGCAAAGCAGTCTGTGATTAATGTTGATGTAATGTATGAAACTCAATGCTCGGACCACTTTCCGCTTATTATATATTGCAACTTAAAATTACTAACCCCTAAAATATTACCTAAAATTATAAATCCAAATAAAGATATATTATGGGGTGAAAGAAGTGTTGAACAAATCTCTATGTATACTAGTGAGTGTCGTAAGATGCTGAGATTGATTGACTTTCCTTCGGATTGTGTGAGCTGTGCTGATTATGCTTGTAATGACCGTGGCTACTGGCATACTCTAGACATTGTGACCGCCCTTCGTGACATAGCGGTGGTAAGTCGGGGAAGCTCGAAAGTTGAGGAGTGGCTCGCGCGTAGTGGGTTGGAACAAGCATGTCGGCGCTGCTCATAGGGAGGGTAGGTCCAAGTTACATGAATGGGTGATGTGCGGAAAGCAAAAGTCGGGTCCTGTTTATCGAGAAATGTGCGAAAGCAGAAGAGTTTCAAGTCCAGATTAAAGTGGTGCCAAGCCCACCAATAACAAATAAAAATGGACTCTCTTGCGGAAAAGCATTCAAAGGGTAACTTTAAGGGCTTCTGGAAAAACACTAGTAAAATTAATGTACGGCCTGGCCTTCCTGTGAGCGTCGATGGCGTAAACGACCCCAAGGACATTGAAAATGTCTTTAGACTGGTAGTCACACAACTAACAGCGTACTTTGGGCGGGAGCAGTCATCATCATCATCATCATTACAGCCCTTCACAAGTCCACTGCTGAACATAGGCCTCCCCAAGTAATGCCACAAAGCACGGTCCTGAGCCACCTGCATCCATCGACTTCCTGCATATCTTACCAGGTCGTCACTCCATCTAGTGGGAGGTCGCCCTACACTACACCTACCGGTATGAGGCTGCCACTCGAGAACCTTTCTTCCCCATCGGTTATCGGTTCTTCGAGCTATATGGCCGGCCCATTGCCACTTCAGCTTACTAATCCGTTGGGCTATGTCGGTCACTCTGGTTTTACTGCGGATATCCTCATTTTTGAGTCTATCACGCAGAGAAACTCAGAGCATAGCCCTCTCCATAGCTCGCTGAGCGACCTTGAGCGTCCTCATACGGCCAGCAGTGAAGGACCACGTCTGAGATCCGTAAGTCATCACTGGCAACACGCACTGGTTGTAGTCAACCTAATTTTTAGAGATTGAGGTATACCTGACGAGAAGATATGTCGTAATTTCCCGAACGCTGCCCAGCCGAGTTGAATCCGTCGATTGACCTCTCGGTCGAAGTTGGACTTACCTAGTCGGACTATTTGTCCCAGGTAAACGTACTCGTCAACAACTTCGAGCATAGTGCTCCCAACAAATACCGGCATAGGTGTGACATGGACATTAAACATAATCTTTGTTTTGTCCATGTTCATCTTAAGACCTATCCGTTGGGAGGCACTATTGAGGTCATTGAGCATAGTGCTTAAGTCCTCCAGCGATTCTGCCATAAGGACTATATCGTCGGCAAATCGAAGGTGAGTGATGTACTCGCCATTGATGTTAATACCGTATCCTTTCCAGTCCAGTTGCTTGAAAACGTCTTCCAATGCAGCGGTGAAGAGTTTCGGGGATATAACGTCACCCTGTCTTACACCTCTCTGCAGTTGGATAGGTTTCGAGCTCTGGTTCTGTACTCGGATAGCCATCGTAGCTCCACTGTACAAACACTTCAGCACTTCGATATACCGACAGTCAACTTGGCACCGCTGAAGGGACTGTAGCACCGCCCAAATTTCGACGGAATCAAAGGCTTTCTCATAGTCCACATACGCCAGGCAAAGTGGCAGATTGTACTCTTCGGTCTTCTGTACAATCTGCCGCAGGGTATGTATGTGGTCTATGGTACTGAAGCCTTTTCGGAAACCGGCTTGTTCGGGAGGCTGGAAGTCGTCGAGTCTGCGTGCGAGACGATTCGTAATGACTTCAAGTACCGGTGTTCCACCCGCTTTCAGAAGCTCCGCTGTAATTCCATCCTCGCCTGGGGCCCTGCCGTTTTTAAGGTGCTGGAGAGCCATTCTAATCTCGATTAGATTGACGTCCGGGATATCATCGGAATAGTGTCGGATAAGACTTGCTCTTGGATCGTTACTCACACTTGCGTGTGGCTCCAACGATGATGTGTACAGCTGCCCATAGAACCTCTCAATCTCACTCAACATCTCAGGCGTCGGAAACGATGCTGCCACACTCAGTCTTCAGCTTTGACAGTTGGCTCTTACTGGCAGACAGATCTCTGGCAAAGACTTTGGAGCCCTGGTTCCCCTCGATCGCTTCTTTAATACGAGCAGTATTAAAGTTGCGTAAGTCTCGCCGCATGCATTTGGAGATCTGTCTGTTCAGTTGCCTGTATACTTTGTATGCGGGAGCAGTGTCAGATCCGTATTGGCTCGAATGTGGAGTCAGACAAGGCGGATTAACATCTCCGACACTTTTTAATTTGTATATGAATGATTTGATCGTCGCTCTCAGCAGCCAGCGCGTCGGCTGCCATATCGACGGCGTATGTGTTAAAAATCTGAGTTACGCTGACGACATGGTTTTGCTGAGTGCGTCGATCTGTGGCCTAAGAAAACTAATATGGATTTGTGAGGAGTATGCGAGTGGACACGGTCTAAAGTACAATGTGAAGAAAAGTCAATGCATGGTCTTAAAGGCTGGTACCAAGTGTCCCCAGGATTTACCTCCGGTGTTACTGAATAGGGTACCCCTAGAAGTTGCCAATAAATTTAAGTACCTGGGACACATAATAACAAATGACCTCAAGGACAATGCGGACATTGAACGGAAGCGGAGAGCGTTGTCCATTAGAGCTAACATAATAGCCCGCAGATTTGCACGTTGCTCACAGGAGGTAAAAATTACACTATTTAGAGCTTATTGTACGTCACTCTATTCATCCAGCCCGTGGGCAGACTATAATAAACGAAGTTACAACGATCTCCGCGTCCTGTACAATAACGCAGGGTGGCAATAATTCAGGGTGGGGCTGCCCCGCTTCTGCAGTGCCTGTGGCATGTTTGCGGAGGCGCGCACTGCCTGTTTTCACGCGACCATGCGTAAGCGGTGCACGTCACTGGTGCGCAGAGTGCGGGCCAGCTCCAATATTATTCTGAAAATGATAGGAAACAGATTGGACTGTCTTATCCTCCGGCATTGCTGCGACAAATATGTCCCAGTAATTGTGGGAGTGAGAAGGTACTAAATAATAATTATGTGTTAGTTATTATTGTGTTTATATGTTAGTTATTGTATTTTAATGACAAATTATTATTATTATTTATTATCAATTAATCAATGTTTCAATCAATTATAATGATATGGATGTTATGTTATCTGAAATAAAATTAATTAAAAAAAATTATTTCTTGTAGTTTATACAACTTTAAAAAATTTGCGGTAAAATAGAATTATTACAAGTACAATTAGCAGAATTCAAACTTCAGTTGAAAAATGATACATACCATACGAACATCATATAGAATATTTGTCTTCCAAATTACTAAAGGTTACAAAGCACCTAGAAACTTTATAGCCAACACGCGTAAAAGTGGTCTTATAGATGGTTTAGGTTCAATTATTAAGACTATCACCGGAAACTTAGATAACTTTGACGCTATAAGGTATGATAATGCTTTCAAAATTCTTCTGGATAATAATGATAAACTTACCAGTAGATTTATTACCCAAATAAGCTTAAATAACGAGTGGATGGCCCAGCATTCTAAAATGATTAATTAAAAATCAAATAAAAATAAATGAAACTTTAAAAATTATTTTAGATTCAGATGCTTATAGAGATTCGAATTTCATAAAATTTGCTGAGTTCGCTCACTATCTAGC